AGTAATTACAATACTTTTGAAGGCTTCATTCACTGACATGTGTAAAATTTACATGATTATTCATTTTTACTAATTTATGCAAGTAGAATTTTTCTTGTATTCCTTTATTTAATATTTATTCAAATCTAATACTGTATCCGTATTTGTAGGTATATTTAATTATTTTTTGATTTAATATAATTTTGTTTTTCAATAATGATATTTTTCTTTGTCTAATGTAGTATGGTTTCATATTTTCTTTATTTATAATGTAATAATATATATATTGTTCTTTGTATGTAGAACAGTTTAAATTGTTTGTAGTGTAACAAATTTAAGTGCATTCCTAAAGAAGGATCTAGCCCACAATGTTAAGTAAATTAATTGATAGGGAGTTTTTCAACAGTAATTAATCATTAATTAATTGTATCACATGATTAGTTTGTATTTATACTTAGTAATGTGTTGAATCTTTTCTGTTGATTACCTGTTGAAAGTTTCAGTTACACATTTATCATATCTTATTTTTACAGTACTATATGCATTAATACTTCAGTGTTTAAGTTCGTGTAATACTTGTAATTACAGTAAGTGAATATTCATTTGATGAAAGATAATTTTATGTTACAGTAAGTATAGTCTGAAATGATTTCATGATGATCCTTTTTTTTGTGATAAGTAATTCTGGTCTTAGTTTTATTTCACCTTTTTTATATTGCACACATTTGATTTTATATGGAAGCTCTGTTATTACTTAACTGAAATTTTCAATGATGCATGATGTATGTATAGATGTAATGTTTTATTACCTTATGCAATGTAACTTAAATATTTCAAATACATCAAATTTCTGTTTAACATTATAGCTTGAATTCATTACAACTTTGGATCATTGCAGCATTTGTGTATGTAAAAGTTATTTTGAATATCTAACCCCAGTCTAAGATTCTGGCAACAAGGTGCCTCAAAAATGATGTGAAAACTTTTTTTTTTTATGTTTGTGGATCAAAGTCAACAATTATTGGCCAAATTAATTATGGCAAGTCCTGACACTAAACCTTAAAAAAAGGAAGATCTAGATATCTGTTATTGAATTCAAATATGATGTTATAGAAAATTAAGAAAAAAACAAAAACTGGAAAATATTTTTGGATTAAAGCCTTTTTATTACAGCTTTTTTCTTCAAACATCAAGAAACCACAATTTGATTTTTTATTTCTCACTATTATTTTAAGTTAATTCAAGCATTTTAATTTAATTCATTATAATCATAATGCACAAAAATTATCAAATAATCAAAAATTAGGGCTTACAATCTTTTACAATTTTTGATTGTTCAAATTATACAAGTCTCATGTGAGAACAGTCAATTAGTTGAATGTAATCCATTAATGAGCTCAATGAATAACTGATCAGCAAATTCCAATAATCTCCCTGCTCAAGTTACACTATTGATTTGGTTCTCTCCTGTATAAGGCAATATAAATGTCTGTTGGGGTACTGAGATACATTCCACTAATTGTCCAACTCTAGTGATAACCGCTTTGATAGTGAATCACTACTGTTAGTATTATAGTTTGATTTTCACCCAAGGAATTTTGCATTTTATAAAATTGTTGTTAGAAGTAATAAATAAATGCATCCAACGTAAGATTTTAATTCTTTTTTTTTGCAGACGTTAATATTTGATCTCTCTTACTAAAAGTACATAACCCTTTTTTGACAATATAATTCCCTTGAACCTGTAGCTGGAGAGAATGTTTTTTTATATATATAAAAGATGTCACAATGACAATATTTTTATTACTTGGATAGTTGGAATAATAAAAACAGTAATAATCAAAAATAAATTTTGATTGGTTGATCATTTCTGTGAAATTAATTGATTTAGTCATAATTTTGATTATCATTTATATTACAGGGCCCTAATTAAGTTAATCATCCAGCTCTAGTTCACAAATCGACATACTTAAATCCATTAATTCTTTATTAGGGTATATGAGGTAAAACATCACAGTACAGTATATATCAACTTTTAATTGAGAAAGCTATTAATTTTTTGTTAAATAATTGTTTTTTGTTAACAGAAAATTAATCAAGTTACATACTTAATAAGATAGGCCTCTGACTTATTTTTCTGCATTTTTCAGATGATGGTCGAACCAAACCTCATCCTCGGTCATCTAAAGCTTTAGCTAATCCACCACCACAAACGTCAGAGTACAAATGTCTGGTTCGGGCACATCTTGGAAATAAGAAAATCACCACTGTGGTAAATTTTGAATCTTTTTTTTTAGATTTTAATTTTTATAAATTGTAAATTTCAGTATTCCAAAATGATAGATTTATTTTTCTACATACAGTAGCTATTCTTTGCAAGTCTGCTTTTGAAACATTGTGCATGCCTCTAGCCTTGTGCTATTTCCCACTTAAGAAACATTATAACGTGAATTGCACTGACAATAGCCCTCCAACAATAGGAAAGCAACACATCCTCCATGCACAGTAGATCCCCATAAATACTTGCATTCAGAATTAACTTCATTCTTATCCTTGGCACTGTGTTTAACAGACATGTTTATATAAGTTTAAACTTAACCAATTTCATGAGAAGTGCACTGTCTTTTCCCAGTGTTAACTTTCTTTGTTTTAACTTCAACTTAAAGCTACATCACTACTAAATAACTAAATAAATTTTGACCTGAAAAATTGCTAGAACAACCATTAATTCTCAATATCTGATTATTTACTTCATTTAAAACCATGGGGAAACCTTATTTAGCCCATGTGCTTTATTTACTTTTAATCCCTTTCTAATTACCATGAAGAGGTTTATATACTTACATGATTCAGAATGGTCAATCCTTTACAATACCTTGGCCAAGGTTTCAACTTCTGTCTAGACCCTGCTTGTTTGGTTCCTCTGTTGTTGTCGATTTGATTTCTCAGTTTGTTCTTTACCTTCCCCTTCTCCTATGTATTTTCATTCTTCCTGTTCCTCACACTGAAGATTTTTTGGTTTTTCTTTCTTCTCCAGGCATACATGTCCCTGATGACATGTTTCTGGTTCAATTTCATTTCCACTCTCAAATGCCTAGTCTTCCTCAACTCTACTTGGCTTATAACTGTTCTCCTTTCATGTTTTTGTATTCCCTTCTTCTCACTTGGGGGCTGACTCTCTGTATCAAGTGGTCAATTAACTATCTTTCTCTGTCCTCACTTTATCTCCTATTTGAAGCCTCACACCATGACCCTGATAGTTTTTCCTGGAATCTATGGTTGGTCCTTTACAATACCTTAGCCAGGGTTTTATTTTCATCTTTAGTCTTGATCCTGCTTACTTGTTTCCTCTGTTGATGGGACCTGCTGGACTGAGATGCTCTTTTCTCTACTTCTATGACCTCCATTTGGCTCCTCTTTTTTGACCTGAAATCTTTGGACATACTCCTTATACCTTGGAGACTTGAGCTGAGGCTTCTCAACTTCAGTCCTCCTTATCCTTCTTGATTTCTTGTCTCTCACAAGCTTGTGAGTGCATTCCCATTCCTCGATCCCATGAACCCTCCACCTTTCTCTTTTTTTTCCATTTCTCATCTCTCTACCAATTCTTGTCATCCACATTTCTGTCAGGTTGATCATCACACATCCCATCAGTGACTCCTTCCATTTGTACCCAGTCATTCAGGCCTGGTAGGGGCATGTCCTTTTCTGATCACAGATGATTGGACCCATTTTGAAGTGACTGATAGGTAATTCAGGTTCTTTTCTCATAACTTCTTGTCTCTTCCTCTCCTGTCCTCTTTTCCTGTTCCTTTTTCTCCTCCTTCCAATCTTCAGCATCTTCTGCATCTCGAGGTTGCGGTATCGAAGCTTTTGGACATGATAGTCATTGAGAGTGGCCTTTGCCCCTCTCTATGGTTTTAATATCTTTTTGTACCCTCCAAAATGAGCAGGGTCTGGTGCCCCATCATTGACCTTTCCTCTATCAACTACTATCTAGTGGTTCCTTGGTTCAAGATGAAGACTGTGGATAACCAAGGTCAATGTCTTGAACATTCTTATCCATGTTCTAATTGCCTTATCCTCCTGTCATTTCCTTGATTTTGTTCACTGGGATCAGGTGTATCAGATTCAAGCTTTTGCTTTTGACATCACTTCAGATCCTTATGTTTTCAGCTGAGTCATGAGAGCTTTGGCTTGCCCCATCTTTTGGAATTTGTTCCCATTATTACATAAATGACTGATTCCTCATTGTCTCTTCTCCAAGAGGTAGCTTGACTTGATTGGCTGGTTAAGGTTTCCAAGTTTCTGTTTCCAACCCAATTCTTGCCCCACTTTAAAGTCTTTTTCAACTCTTCCTTCCCCAATTTGTTTGTGAGGAATGGAGTTTCTAGTCACCTCGACTCTTGCATCTCCTGTACTTCCTGTGTGAGAGGTTCTGTCTCTTTTGGAGACTCTCGCATCTTGTCCTTTTAGGCTGGGCTCATATGAGGCTTGTTGAATGGACTTTGAATGACTAATGAAAGATCTATCAAGATTCTCTGTCCTCTCTTAATGGCTGGAACATGCCAACACTGGCTAACATCCCACTGCTACCATCTTCTGGACTTTTCATCTCTTCATCAATGCATCTCTTATGGGTTGGGGCACATTTATGAATGACTTCACTTCCTCAGGAGTTTTGTCTCCTGTGAAGCATACCTTCCAGATCAATGTTTTGGAACTTTTGGTCACCCATTAGGTATGTACCTATTTCGTACACCATTTTATGGATCACTTGGTTATGATCCACTCTGACAGTTGTATGCTGGTCTCCCATATAAATGTCAGGGTGAGACTTGATCCAAAGACCTTTTCTTCTGCATTTGAACCATTTTAGGCCAACTTCTGTGGGGTGGTTACTCCATCCTAAGGTATTTCATTGGAGTTGTTCCCAGTTGAGCATACCAGTGATTGATTACTTCACCACTCCCCTCAATACCAAACTCCCCCGTTTCTGGCCCCCAGCAGCTCTGGCTGTGAATGTCCTCAGCCAGGACTGGTCTTATCTCTTTCTATATGTGTACCCTCTTCTTTGCCTTCTCCCATGTGTCTTAGCATTGATTCATGATACTCCTTGTTTGGTGCTGTTGGTAACACCTATTTGACTGGCTCAGTCTTGGTTTCCTTTCCTTCACCATCTGGCATCCAGTGCACATCTTTCTCTACTTCCATCTTGGTCACTCTTGCTCCAACCTCATATGTCTCTTTCACCTGGGAGTGTCATTCCTGTGTTTTCACAAGTGGGACTTGTCCAGTTCCTTGCTTGCCTGTCAGGTTTCTCTGACCACATAGCCCTTCTATTATTCTGTTCATGTCACTCTTCTACTCTCTGTCTATCAATGAAAGTGGTGTTTTTTTTGCAGTTGGTCCATCCATCGCTCTATCAGGCCATCCTATTGTTACCCACTTTTGGCTTTCTTTACCTGGTTGTTTCACCAAGGATTGTTGGTTTCTACCATCTCAGACTATCAAGCAGCTTTGTTGACCCCTTTTGCCTTCTTTGCTTTGGTTCTGTCTTTACCTCCCCTGTTCTTTACACTTTGTTCTGATCCTTTCTAATTCACTGTCTTCCTCATCTAATTCCTTTTCTTGACTGGAATCTTAATCTGGTTCTACCTGATCTTACACAGTCCCTCTTTGAGCTCTTAGCCACTTACTTCTTATATATGATATATCTCTATTAAAACTTAATTATTTCTCTTGTTTGCTAGTAGTTGTTGCAGCTCTGGTGTTTATGTATTGAATGCCTCCCATACCTTGTTTCACAGATCTTCCTTGATTTTATTTCCTGACTGTTCATATTTTCCAAAGACTAGTGGCTTAGGGGGAAGATTGTACCTTTTCTTCTATATCTCTTCCTTTGATCTCGATCCACTATGATCATACAGACCCTTATTATATTTTGTGTCCAGTACAGATGGTCAGGTGTTACTTGATATGCATGGCTCCATTTCAAGGTTCCTGTTATTGTTTATTCTTGCTGTGGAACTCCTCTTCTACCAGGGATCTTGCTTACTGGATGGATTTGTCAACTCGTCCAGGTCATCTATTCCTCCCTATATGGAGATTAGTGGAATGCTTTTGTTGCATGATGATTACATCATGCACTAGCTCAGTTCATGTTATAATGTGTCTTACGTGGGAGATAGCTCAAGGTTAGTGGCATTCAAAAAATCTTAAAGGCAGACATGTGAGGGACAGCTACTGTGTGCAAAAAGGTGTCTATCATTAATATATTTTCAGGTAAGAAAGATGTTAACATTACAAGATATCTATAAATTAAGTGTGGCTTATGAGTCGTACTTACCCACTGTTGAAATAAAAATGACTTAGAATCCCACTTTGGTACATGGAGCTTACCTTTGTTTTCTGTCCTTTTAGTGCTTGATAAATTTTTTAAACTTTAGTATACTATGAGTTGATTTTAAGTTACTCTAGCCCTTAGCCATTCATGGGATTGGGTGAGTCACCAAAGACATTAGAGTATTCTCCATTAGAAAAGGTTACTATAATATATATGATACATTAAAGATGACAACAGTGTTAGTGTCTCTTGTTAAACGGGGTGATCTGGGGTCTTAACACTCTTTGTTACATGAACATTTAGTTTTTCTTATTCATGCAAAATAATTAATACAAATCTATGTGTATAAGAGGAAACTGTCAACATTTTATTGTTTCATACATGCTTATTAGTTCATAATAATATTGTGTTATAGTTGTACATGTTTTCTGGTGTTTGACTCTTTTTTGTCATTAGCAAATCAGACCAGATTGTATTGTTAAATAGCAAGAACTGTTTCAGTCTCTAGAATAAAAAAACATATAAAAGATTATAGTTTGCTAGGGAATTATAAACAATATTAAACATACAATTTTCTTCTTACCCAAAATGATTTATTAAGCACAAAGGCACATAAATTTATCTTAAATTTTCACATCAACTATAAATAGTTCAAATTCAACATCTACAAAGATAAGTCTGACTGAAATTTCTTGTTTAACATGTACAGCTAAAGACATGTACTATTTTAGGAAATTATGTTCTGCAAGTCTTTTAACTGTAACGATTGTTGAAAAACACAAAGATTATAATAAGTAGAACAAAATTTCTTCTAGGTTATCCTGGACAATCTACACATTTTTGAGCTCTAACTCCTAACAAATTGCAACTTAAATGAAATATGGTGCATTCAATTGGACATTGTATTTTCTTGAAATTATAAAAGGTTCTAAGAGTGG